CCATGACGAAAATGAAGATATCATCATTGATGACGATAAAGGAATTCCTATTACTGGTTCCACAATGCTTAATTCACATACCATAACTTTTACACTCGATGATGTTCTATGTGCACCTCACATTAAATAAAACCTTATTTCCATTTCTCAATTCTACAAACACAATAATACTTTAATTGAATTCTTATCTGACTCTTTTCTTATCAAGTATTTGAGCATGGGGGCATCATTGTTCCAAGGCCAGAATAGAGACAACATTTATGAATGGTCGTCAGCTCTACAAATAACCCAGCCCACTATTCACTCTTTGGTTGCAGCTTCAATTGATGTGTGCCATCGTCATCTTAGTCATCCATCGTCCCTTATCCAGCAGAAATTATTTTCTCTTTATTCTCTTTTCATTTTTAAATCGAGTAGTTTTATACCTCATTATGATGCTTGTCTTAGTAATAAAAGTCATAGACTACTCTCTAGCACATCCTTCATATCATGCTTTAAACCATTTAAGATTATTTATATCGATGTTTGAGGCCTTGCCCCAACCATTTCTTTTGACAAGTTCAGATTTTATATCATTTTTATCGATTATTTTACTAAGTACACATGGTTATATCATCTTCACCATAAATCTAAAGTTTTCACAATCTTTACCAACTTTAGAAAATTGATCAAGAACTACTTTCAGTCTATAATCAAAATAATTTACTCTGATGGTGAAGGCGAATATCAAGCCCTAACATCTTGTCTCTCAGCTTGTAGTATACAACACATCAAGTCACCCCCCATATACTCAACTAGTTGGCTCTGTCGAACGTAAACATGACATATATTTAAAACTGGTCTCACACTTCTACATCAGGCTCTCATGCCTCCAATCGTTTGGTCAACAACCTTTTAAATTGTAGTCTACATTATTAATCATATTCTTACTTCAGTTTTACAATATCAGTCCTCATTTGAAACATTATTTCATAAACTTTCAAACCTTCATAAACTCAATGTATTTGGTTGTATATGTTATCCATAGTTATGTTCATATGCCTCTCATAAGATAACATCAAGATCTAAGTCTTACGTCTTCATAGGATACTATCTTGAACATAAAGCTTTCCAATGTTATAACATCTAAACCTAAAAAGTCTTTATATCATGTCACGTTATTTTTGTGGAGTCTACCTTTCCTTTTCAAAACTATGAGTCTCTTGTCATACAAGCCACTCTAACAAACATTTATCATTAGAGTATACCTTTGATCCTGTCGAATGAGCCTCCCATGACACCGTCTAATCCATCCCCTCAGGATCTATACTCTACTGCTACTCCAATTCAGCAACTGCTCATTCCCTCTATTACTTCCCCCACTCTCTTCTTCTCAAGTTTTCCCTATTCATAAGGCAATATATTTAGAAACACAACAACTGCCTTTACCTCCTTCTAGACCCAGTGACACTAAAGTACCTCAGCTTGACCCGGCCCATGTCAGTAACTCTCCACTACTTATACCAACAACATAACATCACAATCTCATGGCCTCCAAACATCCAATGACAACACGCTCCAAGAGTGATATTTTCAAACAATGTCAAGTCCTTGACCTACATGTTATCACAGAATCCTCACCTAAGACCATTGAACTCACCACATTCACTTAAGCCCAAAAACTCCACACTAGCATAAAGCCATGTGTAAATAATATAATTCCCTCCTCCATAACTCAACATAGACCCTTGTACTCTTTTATCACACATAAAACATTATCGGGTGCAAGTGGATCTTTCGAATTAAGCGAAACTCAAATAGATCCGTTGTCAAAGGGTTTCATTAACGACCTAGTGTTGACTTCACTAAGACATTTAGTCCTATTATTAAACCCATAATAATATGACTTGTCCTGAGTTTGGCCATCACTGAAGGTTGGCAATTACGATAATTAGATGTTAATAATATTTTTTTATAGGGAACTCTAACTGAAAACGTTTTTATGCAGCAACTTCATGGTTTTATCCATCCTCAGTATCCAAGGCATGATTGTAAAATATAAAAAGCTATTTATAGACTTCGTTAAGCTCTAAGAGCCTGATACACCGAACTTGGCTCATTTTGACTTCAATTAGTTTTATCAACTCCAAGTCTGATATCTCGTTATTTCTACGGCAACAAAATGGATGCACACAATATATCTTCTAGTGTATGTGGATGACATTATTGTCATAGGTAATAATCCTATAGAGATCCAATCATTCATCAAACAATTGGTAGATTAATTCTCTCTTAAAGATTTAGGAACCTTGAGTTGTTTTTTGGGAGTAGACGAAACATATACATTTTCATGTCTCTTTCTATCACAAAGAAAGCATATTCAAAATTTATTATCAAAGACAAACATATAGAAAGCAAAAAAGGTTTCAACTCCCCTCTTTACCAGTGAATTAGTCAAATTATGTGATGGAAGTCCTACTACGGAACTCACTCAATACCGATAAGTAATTGGTTTCTTATAGTACTTAGCTCTCACCCATTCAGATATTTCATTTGTGATCAATAAATTATCATAATTTATGCATCGATCATCTACTACACATTGGTCTGCAGTCAAACTAATCCCGTGATATCTTAAAAGGACACTTAATCATGGCCTTTTTTTTTTGCAAACACTCTTCACTTCATCTCCATGCCTTTGCCGATGCTGATTGAGTAGGAAACTTTGATGATTAAATATCTACATTGGGATATATTGTCTTCCTTGGAACTAATCAGTTGGAGTTCTAAGAAGCAAAAGATAGTTGCACGGTTTACAACTGAAGTTAAATACCGTGTCATCGCCACCGCTATTGTAGAACTCAATTGGGTCACGAATCTACTAAGGAACTTAACATTGACTCCACTCTTCTATAATATATTATAATAATATCGGAGCTACCTACCCATGCGCCAATCCAGTATTCCACTCTCACACGAAACATATTGTCACCGACTTCCACTTCATGCGAGATCAAGTTGTCCGGCATCAACTACGTGTTCTCACATACATACGACTGATCAACTAGCAGACTCACTCGCGAAACCTCTAGCCCATAAACTATTTTCATTGCATCCGTCTAAGATCAACATCCTTGACATGAGAACCATCTTACGGGGGCATGATAGCAGATAAGATTTTCTAAACTACATGAGGAAATCTCGTTACTCTCCTCTTAACTTGTATAAATAAGAAATATGTCAATAAATTTATGATCAACTTTTATACCACACTCTAGTTTATTACTTTATCTCACAACTAACTACCACTAATTGATTGATCAGCGAAGTTAGATCGCTTGAATGAATGTCTTATCCCCTATCGTTTTAAAAAAAATTAAAAAAATATTTTGATATTGGAACTTGAGATTCCATCCTCAACTTTAATTTCAGAATTTATGTTATATTATTATTTTTTATAAAAAAAATTAAAGAGTAATAAAATGTCAATTTATTGGAACATAAATATCTTTTGCTTATCAAAGATGAAATTTTATTTTTTTATTTTTTTTTCATATTTGAGAAATATGGTTTTATACGTTTTCACATTTAAGACAGATTGATATCTGTCCACATATTCGAATTGATTAATATATTATTATACAAGTAATATATTTTAGGTTTAAATTTTAAATTTTGTACATATTATTTGATATAATAATTTTTTTTAAGAAATAGATAGGAATGAAGGAATTTAGGTATGAAGCTATCGTGATTTTTCTTATTGCCTGCCTTTGCCGCCGGAAGCCAAATGATTGCAGTGTGTAGTTGCTGTTTTTGGCAATGGAATCCGAAGTCCTCTCTCTCTCTCTCTCTCTAAGTGGGGAGAGTAGAAGTGAAGACAAAGCTCTCTCCATCTCCAGATGGGGGGAGTAGAAGCGAAGGCAAAGCGACTGGGGAATGGCAGCCTTCACCAGCCGACAGTGGCAGCGTTCTCACTGCAGCCCGTCCCATTCGATTCCATCCAACTCACTGCCACCGCTCCTCCCTCCGTCTACGTGCATGGATTTGGTTGTTCCCAGAAAACTCGCACTGCACGTGCACCAATCCCGACGCCAATCACCTCTCTCTCTCTC